AATCCTCCCCGAAGCGCCGCTCATTCACGCTCCAGTGCAGTTGACCGAGCTGGACGACATGCGGGGCGCGTTTCAGTGGCCGGGCGTCAAGTTTACGCGACTCCCGTTCCCGCGCGAAGGCGACAGCACCCCACGTACACCTTGGAATTCGACCCCTTTGGAACATACGAGCTGTTGCAGGAGGACCATTCCCCAGGGCCTTCGTTCAGCGAGGGTTGTTCTTTTGAGAATACCCCGTCGACCGTTCCCGAAACACCTTGTGCAAGGAGTGGATCCATGAATAAATCAAGAGGCCGGCACGGCAGGACCTACTCCCGATGCGCGCGCCAGAGGTAGTGGATGGATATGCGATTGTACGCAGGCTCGAGCTTCACACCTCGTCTTCCACCGCCATTCCCCCTCCCCCCTCCCATGTTGCCCTTTCGTTGGGTTCCCCATCCTCCCCCCTCTCTCTCTCTCCCCCATTTTTTCCCCTCCTCCTCCTCCTCCTCCTCCTCCTCCTCCTCCTCCTCCTTCTCCTCCTCCTCCTACAGCCGCCGACGCGGCCCAGACCCCCCCTTGCCAGAGGCGGCCTTCCCGAGGACCGCCCCGCCGTGATGGGGGCAGCCGTGGCCCGCAGGCGCTGACCCTGTGTGCCGCCCCCAGCGGGGGCAGGCGGCACGCTGCCGCTCAGGCGCCGCGCTGCGCGCGCCTGGGGCGCTGTGCCCAGCGGCTCCATGCTGAAGCTGATCCTGGCCATGCTGATCGGCGTCGTCGGCGCCGAGCGCTGGAGCTTCCTGGGCTCCTGGAACCCCCACTCGCTGGTGACGGGGTACCGCCTCGACGAGGTCTCAGCGGTGCTACGCAACGTGGGCATCATTGGATTGCCTGGGACAAGTGTACGTGCGTGGCAGGGGGAGCACCACCATGCGGCCACGGCGACATACCACCACACCATCCAGTTCGGGTGGCACAGGAGCCGACTGGTCACGAAGGCGTGCGGTTGTGCCATCATGCTGAACAAGACGTGGTTCGCGAGGAAGGACATCAGGCGCATCGTCACGCCGCCAGCTTGCCTGCTTGGCCGTGGGGGCTTGGCATACATACAGTCGGGCCAGGTGATGATTGCGATGATGGTGCTGTACTTCCCCCCCAAGCCGAGCAAGGCAGGCAGCTCCAGAGTCTATAAGGACACGTGCGACCAGCTACTGAAGTGGGCAAAGCAGGAGTTCTTGAAGATCCCCCAGCGGTATACGCCTGTTGTGTGCATGGACCTGAACTCGGGGCTGCTCGCCAGGCCTGACTTTGGCGTCGTGGGGGACTATGGCGCGGAGAAGGAGAATGCGTGCGGTGCTGCTGTTCATGATTGGCTCAGCACGGTGGGGATGGTGGCGATCAACACGTTCTACAATTGTGGCCCCACCTTCGTGGGCTCCAACGGCCAGAGCCAGATTGACTATGTGTGTATCCCTGGGGACGCGGTGCCGCTGGCATCTTGGGCAAAGACCTGGAAGAGGTCGGCGCAGGAAGGCCGATCGATGCCAGCGGTGCTGGACCACATCCCCGTCGTGATGAAGATGAAGATGGTGCCGCCGATTGTGCTCACACCCTTGCGCGAGAGGTGGGACCGTGCCAAACTCAGCCAGGCGACGCTCACTGGCGAGGGGCGAGAAGCGTTCCTGGAGGAGTTGCAGTACGAGCTCGAGTCCCACCGCGCGGCCTTCGAGGTGCTCGAGAGTAGGGAGGTGACGACGGGGCACACGGCGCTGCTCATGCACATGATCAAGACGACGGCGCTGAAGCACTTCTCGTTGGCCCCTGTCAAGAACGAGGTGCTGGAGAAAATGACGACGGAGAAGTGGAAGTTGCTGAAGGCGCGCAGGGCCCTGCTGGCTGAAGTATCGGCCGAGGTGATTGCGGCAAACGTGTCCATGACGACGGACGTGGCGAAGCAGACCGTGGCGATCAAGGCGTACACGAAGGCGCTCAAGTCCCACAAGAGGAAGTTTGTGGCTGAACGGCGACGACTCACTGAGGACGACCTGGCGGCTGCGTGGAAGACCCGTGACATGGCGGCCGTACCCCGCCTGGCCCGTGCCTTGGCGGGCACGGGCATTGGCATCAAGAATCGCAACTACCGTGCCAACCCGTGCTTCTCACCGTCGGCGAACGAGTGGGTGCAGTTCCTGGAGCTCCCTCCTCTGCGAGGGGGGCTGGCGGGGGAGGCGATGTCGGTGCCGTGGTACGCTGAGCTCTCTGAGGAGCGCTACAAGCAGCTGAAGGACATCGACGAGTATGCCATCCCTGACAATTTCGAGGTGACGGATCATACCAGGAAGCAAACAATAAAAGATTTCAAGATGACGGCAAGAGCGATTCGGCGATCGAGGCTGGGGCGATTCTCGCCGGCCTGGTCGGCGCCAGCTGAGGTTTTCAAGATACTGCTCGACCCGACGTGGGTCAGCGCGCCGAGTGAATACTGGAAAAAACCGATGGGGGTGGGGGCGCGACCTGAGGCTATTTGGAACGACGATGCCACCACCCCCGACCCGTATGCGAAGAGGCAGCTGCTGCATTTGGGAAAATACGGGGAGGCATCCTACCGCCTCTTCAGGCTGGCGCTGCAGGTGAGGAGGACCGAGCTGTTGCCCACGCAGGCGCCCCTCTCGTTCGGGTTCGCGCCTGATAAGAAGAATGGGAAAGCTGGGCCTGCGGGGAGGAGGCTACTACACGCTATGTGCCCGTGGTGGAGAGCATATACGAGGGGGCAGCTGCTCCGCGGGGGGTCGTTCAGACCCCCACCGTGGGCCTTCGCCTGCCGTGGGAGGAGGAGGGAGCAGCTGATGATGACGACGAAGATCACGGCGTGGAAAGGATTGCATAGTGGCCAACCGATGCTGCACAAGAGCTACGATGCGACCAACGCCTTCGCTTGTGGCCTGAAGCACCAGCTGGAACAGTGTGTGCACGACAGGTTGGCTGAGGAGGAGGAGCTGGCTGAAGAGGACATCCGCTACGCCACAACTGTGACGAGGACCCGAAGGAGCAACCTCACCGTGATCATTGACGCGGCCGACGTGAGGTGTGCCGTGCGCAGTGGCAGCGGAGGCTTCATGGGCGACACGTCGGAGCCAGAGATTTTCATGCAGAACTACCATCATGCTGTCCATGCGTGGGCGGCCTTTGAGAGAAGACTGAGCGCTGAGAGCATGACCATCACCTTCAGCAAGTTTCCCACGGTGGACGCCAGCATGGGCACGTTCATGGACGACATCTTTAAGACGATGCTGGTGCCGAAGGATATGGTCAACGCAGGGGACATCGTTGCGATGTCTAAGCGGAACGACATGTACCTGGATCAGTCGTTGGCAGCACGGCAGTATGCACAGAATCGGAGCAAGCAGGACGTGGTGCCATCACTGAGGTCGAGGCAGCTTACTAGACAAGTGATATTGGGACTACGGCAGTCGGGATGCCAGGCAGGCTACGAGCTGAAGCACCTGGGCGCCTGGTTCAACGCGGTGGGGAGCAACGCGAGCGAGCTGCGGGCGCGCCTGCAGGCGCTCAACCGTGGGTGGCTTATGGTGAAAGGATTCTGGAGCTCGAAGGCGCCGCGTCGTGTGAAGAGGCTGATGTTCATTTCCCTGGTCAGCGGCGCAGGCCTATCGGGCACCATATCGATGGTCTGGACCCAGAGCGAACACCGTATTATTTGCTCATCGTTGGTAAAAAAATTGCGCTATCTGATGGGTGGTACGGCTACGTTCCACGACGACCAAGTTCGTTCGCTCACGTCTCGGGAGGTGTACCGCTACTGGCAGCTGGTGCCCTTCGCGCTCGAGGCGACGGTCCAGAGGCTGAAGGCTTGGCAGAGTGTGATACGGAACCCTTGGAACCACGAGCACTTCCTGTCGGTCTTCTTCGGGACGATGAAGTGGGAGCTGGAGGCGGAGTACGCGTGCCCCCCGTCGCTCGACCCAGCTGGTGGAGTGAACGACCATACGGGGACGCACCCGTGGCTGCAGCAATTCAAGAGCGACATGAAGATGGTCGTGGACCACCCCGAGGCAGAGGACTTTGCCCAGGCCTGGAGGGGCGACATTGAGGAGCTGCTCTGGGACAAGGACGTGAACTGCTACTTCTTGGCCTTTGATCCGCGCTCTTTGCGGACGGCCTTCACAGCGACTGTGTGGAGGCCCCCTGACTCGCTGGCGGACTCTGTGCCAGCGGAACTTGACGGAGAAGAAACGTGGGAAAACTCGGTGTCGTCGCTCTCGTGTTCTATTGTCAGGGGGGATGGTACAGTATGTGGGGCTACGTTCAGGACACGAGCAGCACTAATTGCGCACGTCACACAAAGCCAAGGGGAGGGACACGGCGGTAGAAGCATATTCCACATCATCACACCGACGAACGCATGCATCAACTGCGGCACGATATACCAGAATCGCACGGAAGCAGTACGGCACCTCGCACGAGCTTGGCACGCTGGGCGGTGTATACGCAACAACACGGCATACCCGTACACGTTCAAGGACATAAGCGACTACAAGTGCATGGTGTGCAGCATGGAGTGCACGTCGTACGCATCGCTCCGTAGCCACCTCTGCTCGCACATCCCGCCCACGGAGGTGGGGCACCCGATTGCTGTGGTCGAGCCTCGACCACCCAGAGCTCCCCCGCGCGTGCCTCGCGGCCGTGAGATCGCCCCTGGCTGCTGGTGTACCCAGGGCTCGTGGATGTGAGCACCGCTCGGCGGCTGGGTTGATTATTGCTGGTGACGACCTGCGGCGACTCCAGGCTGCCCGTGCTGATGGAGGTGGAGAAGGCCCGAGGCCAGTGGCGAGGAGGACGGTTGGCCTCCTCCCAGGCGTCAGCGACTGGTGGGCAGCCGTCCAAGCCCGAAGATCGCAAGAAGCAGAAAGCAGAGGACGGAGCAGGAGTCGCCAGAGGCGCTGCGGGGGGCGAGGGGGCGACGTCGAAGGCGAAGCCAGGCCGACGTGGGGGTCGTCGCCGCCGAGGCGACAAGGACAGGAAGCTGCTGACCAAGGACAACGGGTTGCGCGAGCTGCTCCTCCTGCTGGCCATGCAGGTCACCCAGCTCACGCAGCGGAGCCGCACGATGTGGGGCATGATGACGAAGACGGCGATCTTGGAGGACAGCTCGAAGGTTGTCAAAGCCATGCAGGAGGAGGCCAAGACGTTCTCGGACAACGCGCAGACACTGAGGGACAAGGTCAAGCGTCTCAAGGACGAGGCCAAGGCGGCAAAGGACGCGGGAGACAAGCCCGCGGAGCAAAAGTCGGACGGGGAGGCCGCGCTAGTACTGGCGGAGCTACGCGGACTCGGCCCCCCCACGGCGACGGTGTTCTGCGCGATGGTCGAGAGCTTGGCAGAGGAAGAGGTGGGGCGCGCCAACAGGCAGACGCTCGAGGCGTGGTCGACGGCCATGGTGGGCGACCCGCCAGACTTCGTGAAGCTCTGCCGCCTCGAGAACTGCTACCAGACGGACATGATCAAGATAGTGTTCGCAGTCACCGACCAGACCAAGGAGGATGTGCTCGCGGACGCGTTCAAGCAGCTGGGCGCCACCGTCACCTCTGGCTCGGCGCCTGCTGGGTACATGGAAGAAGAACTCTCGGCGTGGATAGACGCACTCAAAGCGTGAGGCCAGGTATGGACCACAGCCACTCCCAGCGGCGAGCGCAAACCTTTTCGACACGCTCGGGTCGCTAGGCGTGGCTCTGCTCGTCCTGTGCGAGGACCTGGCCAACGACGTGTGGCCGCGCACAGCGCTGCGCCTTCGAGCGTGGCTGTGCTGCCGCGGCACCGGGGGGATGATGTAGTGGTGTGAGGGGCCACGGACAGCGGGCAGTAGCATAGTGCGATTTTGATGTGTGCGTAGTGGCCCTCGCCCGCCTGCTTTCTCGCCTCCCTCCCTCTCGCGGCCCCTCGGGCCCTCGTGTTCGCCCCTCTTCGGTCCCTTTCGGTCGGGCCCCTCGTCGGTTCTCGGTCGGCCCTGCCTTCTGTGTGCGAGCAGTGCGGCGCGTGTAGCGTGCATGTGTCTTCCCAATTACACTGCACGTGAGTTTGCACAGGCACAATACTCTCTTTGCTCATCAGCTGCGTACTACTACTACTACTCCTCCTCCTACTCTTTGCACCAGTGCGTCAGGTGTGGCGCCCCGTCGCGAGATGGAAGGAGCGTGGGTGTCGCCTGTGCCTTGGCCGCCTGCTCCAGCAGTTCTTGGCAGGGGATATCCTGAAGGACAGACGGCACACGTGTGTGCCGCAGGAAGACCCTTTGTTGGAAGGAGTCGGCAGGCCCAGGCCAGGCTACATCTTCACGGAAAGGCTGTGCACAATCACGGCGCCCACGGCGGGAAAAGAGGCACCCAGCTCCACCGGATCTACGTTCGCCCGCGAATGCTTGAGATGCGCCGAGATTTTTGCCCGCCCCACGTGTAGCGAGCTGGTTTTCGCCTTCGTGCATCAATTCGCTCCCGGTGCACCCCATCGTTTGCTTGACCAGCGTCCGGCTGCTTTGAGTTATTTGGCGCCCGCGGAGTTACAATGTGTAGCGAGCTGTTAGTTTTGCCAAGGGCGTCAGTGAGCATGTTGCTGTAATGTTTGCGCGTTGCCTTTGGTCCACGCCTGGTCATGGTTTTCCCCGTTGTGAGGCCTCAGAGGAGAACTGATTGAGGTTGATGGGTGTTGGCCCCGGATGGAAATTCTCTGGTAAAGTTTTCGTAACGGGAGCGCGTTCAACACCGCCCACGAGTGGCTGAGCCGAGTTGGAGGGGCCATCGTGGCCATCGACCCAGCAGGAAATTTCGAGGCAGCAATGTATGAGGCTGTCCCCCCCAGCTTCTTCTCCCCGTCCCACGTAGCGCGGGACGGGGAGGACTACGCTTTTCACGTGTTCAGCACGTTCTCGGAATTCAACTCTTAGAATCCACTTGAAGTTGTTTCGGATTGTGCGGGTTCGGTGGGGTGCGCTCAACATGCTGGAGCGGTCCTCGACTTCAGCACACCAGTCGGAGAGGGATGCTCGGAATGATTACGATGTCCAGCTTATTGTCGGCAACACTAAGGCCGAGAGTATGCTACGAAAGGTGCCAAGCTTGGGGGCATTACAGAGCATTGGCCTCTCTCTGCTTCAGGCTGCCAGAGGATTGTTAGACATTCTTATCTCTGGCACGGCCGCGCTCAGGCCGCGTTCCTTTCGGACTGTTGGAGCAGTCAGACTCGGAAGACATAGCAGGCTTGATTGACATTGAATTTGAGGATGAGCACTGAATACTCGCAGACCCTCTAGGAGGCCTGTCTTGAGGCGGGGGTGCGCCCTTTCGAGGGGAGTTCCAGGGCCAGGGGGCTATGGGTTTTCTTCCTCCCCACCCGCTTCCGCATCTGGCTCCAGGTTGCTGGAGTGCCGTGGGAGTACCGAGGTCATTCCATCGTCCAGGCCGAAGTGCAGGTGGAGGACGGTGAAAAGGCTTGATGGTTTGTTATTCTGCAAGCGCTGCGGAGCCTCGGTGCATCGGCATGCGCGAGGCGGGCTTCTCCAGGCTTGCAAAGGTTCCGAGCACGCAGGTTGTAAGACTCAGAGGTCAAGGCTCATGTGAGGTCTGTTCCCAGGCCACAACGTGGGCAAGGCCACTGTGAGCAGCCTGATCGGACCTACGGACGCCATCAAAGTTGTTTGCGGTCCTCTGCTTGGTTGCTCGGTGGGTAGTGAGGTTGAGGAGTCCCCTCGTTTTTGCGAGGCTATGGAGGGGTCTGATTCGGCGGCGGTTGACCCGTCGCCGACCCCTGTCATTGTAGCGATCCCATCTGGGAGAGTGACCAGCGGCGTCGGGAGGGAGACTCTCGCGGGATGGGCAGGTTCGCACAGGCTAACCTCCTCCTGCAGTGCAGGTGCCAGGGAGTGCAGACTCACCCAGCATCTCCTCCTCCTCCTCCTGCTCCTCCTCCTCCTCCTCCTCCTCCTCCTCCTCCTCCTCCGCTTCTTCCTCCTCCTCCTTCTCCTCCTCCTTCTCCTCCTCCTCCTCCTTCTCCTCCTCGTCCTCCTCCTCCTCCTCCTCCTCCTCCTCTTCCCCCCCGCCAGGCTGTCCCTCAGCCTGAGGCCCCCGCCGCCCAAGAGGAAGCCGGACTTCTCCCGGGTCCCCCCTCCCCCTGCCGCCCGCGCGCGCGGCCAGAGGGAGATAGGCTCTTCGACGTTCTGAGCGCGAGGCTTGCGTGCGTTTTCGTCGGTTCTCGTCGGTCTTCTAGCCTCGGGATGCCTTCCATCGGCTGTGCCTCGCCGAGGGCGTTCCAGTGGTGCCCAGATTATCCCGAACGCTGCCGGAGGCCCGAGTTATGGCCCGAACACCATGCTCGGAGGGGCACCCTGAGATCGGCGTTGCAAGTTTATCGCACCACCATGCGTCTTCACCCAGTTTCTGGCCCCAGGACCACCACATATCGATTTGGCTCGAGGAACGTCGTAAAGAGATAGGATCTAGGGTTCCGGTTGTGATTTTTCGCGATGCTGCATTTTCGTCGCATCGTCGGATCTCAGGGCCTGCGGTGGTTGCTGGACGTAGCTTCGGTCCAAACTTGTCGTGTCGGGCGAACCGGGGGAGGGGTAAAGAAGGGGAGGAGATACGAGGATTGGAGTCTTGGGGTTCTCAATGGGATGCCTGGGAACCCCATCGTAACTCTTTTTTCCTTGCTCTTTCTAGCTCGCGCCGACATCCGAAGGCATCGCTAGCCGAAGCAGGGCAAACGGCTGGAGTCAACGCCATCATCATCATCATCAGCATCATCACCATCATCATCATCATCATCATCATCATCATCATCAACAACAACATCAACATCAACATCAACATCAACGTCATCATCATCACCATCATCACCATCATCACCATCATCACCATCATCACCATCATCACCATCATAATCACCACCACCATCATCACCATCATCATCATCATCGTAGTACGTAGTAATCTGAATCATCACCATCATCATCATCGTCATCATCATCATCACCATCATCACCATCATCACCATCATCATAATCATCATCATCATCATCGTCGTCATCATCATCATCGTCCTCATCGGACACCGACGGGACACCGGCGGGACACCGGATCTCATTATCGATCTCATTCGATCGATCTCACAATCGATCTGGCGATCGATCTCACAATCGATCTCACTATCGATCTCACAATCGATCTCTCATTCGGTCTCACTATCGATCTCACCATCGATCTTACAATCGATCCACCATCATCACCATCATCACATCATCATCATCATCATCATCATCATCATCATCATCATCATCATCACCATCATCATCATCATCATCATCATCATCATCACATCATCATCATCATCATCATCATCATCATCATCATCATCATCACCATCATCATCATCATCATCATCATAATCATCAGCATCCATCGTCATCATCATCATATCATCATCATCATCATCATCATCAGCAGCAGCAGCAGCATCATCACAGCATCATCATCATCATCATCATCATCATCATCATCATCATCCTCATCAATCATCATCATCATCATCATCACCGTCATCATCGGGACACCGACGGGACACCGGCGGGACACCGGCGGGGGGGGGGAGGAAGGAGGAGGAGGAGGAGGAGGAGGAGGAGGGAGGAGGAGAGGAGGAGGAGGAGGAGGAGGAGGAGGAGGAGGAGGAGGAGGAGGAGAGGAGGAGGAGGAGGAGGAGGAGGAGGAGGAGGAGGAGGAGGAGGAGGAGGAGAGGAGGAGGAGGAGGAGGAGGAGAGGAGGAGGATGAGGAGGAGGAGGAGGAGGAGGAGGAGGAGAGGAGGAGGAGGAGGAGGAGGGAGGAGGAGGAGGAGGAGGAGGAGGAGGAGGAGGAGGAGGAGGAGGAGGAGGAGGAGGGAGGAGGAGGAGGAGGAGGAGGAGGAGGAGGAGGAGGAGGAGGAGGGAGGAGGAGGAGGACGGGGAGGGAGGAGGAGGAGGAGGAGGAGGAGGAGGAGAGGAGGAGGAGGAGGAGGAGGAGGAGGAGGAGGAGGAGGGGGAGGAGGAGGAGGGGGAGGGGGAGGCCCTGTTCGCGATCGTGTCTGGGCGCGGACCTTCTGGCCTCGGCCGGCGGGACACCGCGGGACGACGGACGCCGGAAGGGAGTCATTTGGTCCGGCCGCGCCTCAGCCACAGCGGGACACCGGCGGGACACCGCGGGCCACCGGACGCCGGAAGGGAGTCATTTGGTCCGGCCGCGCCTCAGCCACAGGAGACTTTCTTCTCGCCTGCCCACGCAGCTTCGCCTCGCCCGCACGCACGGCACGCACGAGCACGAAACCGAAATCGATTTCCCGGTAGGGGGGCTCTCCGTTCCACTTCGATCTCACCCCCCAACCTGCAACCTCCGATGCATATATATATATATATATATATATATATATATATATATTCCTCTTCCTATATTTTTATAAGCCCGGGCGGGGGGAAAACCCATCACCCCCCCCCCCAAAACCGGACTCCCGGGACCTGGGGTTTTGGGGCCCTCCGGACGGGCCTCGAAGCGGCCACTGGGCCTCGCAAGACGTTTTGCCAAGCCTTCCCAGCACACTTAGGGCGATCAGGGGGGTCATCGGAGACGTTCCAGAGACCC